TATATTTTATAATTATTTTATATATAAATAAAATAATTTATTTTATAATTAATATATATAGTATATATAATATATATTACAATTTAGTATATGTATATTATATATAGTGTATAGTAAATAGTATATACTATATATAGCATATAGTAAATAGAATCAGTTTTGCTATTTAGACTCATTGGAAACTTTGGCAAATAAAGTTTAAAGTATCATAAACAATTTATGAATCAGATGGACAACCTTAAGCTGACTGCTGCTGTTTTCATGCTTTCTTTTTGTATGAGATTCATCAGCCTATTTAAGTATGCATTGATTTCCTTAAGTATTTGTGTAAAGGCTCCTTGGCTTGGCAAATGAGTTTCATCATACTATAGAGTACTTTACAATTCCATGGAATCATACATTTAACTTTTATGATAGATATGATGAACCTTAAACATTTATCAGTTATTTTGTTTTACTAAATTACAGAGATATGATTTGAATTAATGTAAATTTTTTAAGTTGCCCAAAGATACTTGAATTAATGAAAAGAATAGGCCGGGCACAGTGGCTCACGCCTGTAATCCCAGCACTTTGGGAGGCCGAGGCGGGCAGATCGCCTGAGGTCAGGAGTTCGAGACCAGCCTGACCAACATGGGGAAACCCCGTCTCTACTAAAAATACAAAAAAATTAGCCAGGCATGGTGGCATATGCCTGTAATCCCAGCCACTCAGGAGGCTGAGACAGGAGAATTGATTGAACCCAGGAGGTGGAGGTTGCAGTGAGCCGAGACTGTGCCATTGCACTCCAACCTGGGCAACAAGAGTAAAACTCTGTCTCAAAAAAAGAAGAGAAAAGAAAAGAAGAAAACTATATCTTCAGTAGCAAGGAGAAGAATTCAAAACCATTACCTAGTCTTTATGGCTGCTAAAATCTTGGTGTTTTTGACTGTTTCTTAGGGTAGATTTTTAGAAATACACTTACTGGGTTAAAGAGTAAGAATTGTTTTTAAAGATTCTTACAGATTGCTATATTGCTTTCTGGAAAGATTTTACTCATTTTTACATTGACCAGTTTTATCTATTTGTTTCCCTTTACCTAAATATGAAATATTATTCTTTTAAAAAGACTTTGCTTGTAATAATGCCACCTTTCATTTGTTTTTTGTTTGTTTTTTTGAGTCACAGTCTCGCTCTGTCACCTAGGCTGGAGTGTAGTGGCTCTATCTCTGCTCACTGCAACCTCTGCCTGCCAGGTTCAAGTGATTCTCCTGCCTCAGCCTCCCAAGTAGCTGGGACTACAGGCTAATTTTTATATTTTTAGTAGGGATGGGGTTTCACCATGTTGGCCAGACTGGTCTCAAACTCCTGACCTCAGGTAATCCGCCCACCTCAGCCTCCCAAAGTGCTGGAATTGTAGGTGTGAGCCACCGTGCCCAGCCGACATCTTTCATTTGTTAAGTCTCTGTTATGTGCCAGATACTATGCTAATAAGCTAGCGTGGATTATGTCATTGAATATATATAGCTATTTGATGAGGTATTTTTCTCCCTATTTTTGAGAAAAGCTTGGAGAAGTAGTTTTCCTTGAAATCAGACAGCCAATAAGTTGCAGAACCAAAATTCAAACTCAGGTCTCTGATTCCAAGGCCTGTAGTGTATATATCAATTTATTGTTATATTAAGCCTTATATATACTCTTGCATAACATATAATACCATACCTCTATGCAGTTTATTTTATATTGCATATTTCAGCATGTAACTCGACCTTTTGTTTTCTCATTTCTGAAATAATATAACTTCCTAAGAACCTTCTTCCTTAGGATGCTCTTAATAAATTCCTTTATAAACCTAACTGTCTCTCCCTTTGAATATCATTTGAATTTTCTTTCTCTGTACTCAAATTGTGGGCAAGGCGAAGGCCTTCTGGGATGCTGACTTTTATATACTGAAACTAAAACACTTGATTTCTTTAGTTTATTGGGAAGAGGGTAATGCCCATGTATGCTAGAGATAATATCAGTTTTCTTTTACAGAATATAAATGAATATAAATGAAGCTCAATTCTTGATGACTTTGGAGAATACTTTTAAACTATGTTTTAACAATATGTGTGGTCAGATAAATTTTGGAAATGCTGCACCCTGACCTCCCTTGTCAAAGTACACATTAGCATATTTGAGAAGTACTTCTAGAAAGAACCATTTTTAAAGTTAGTTTGATAGCACTTCACAAACTTCCTTAACTATAGAACCATACTGGGTGTTATGTACTACAGTATCTTTAGTTTGTGTCAGTAACAGCTTTCCTTCTTTTTTGTGTGTATTAGTCCATTTTCATGCTGCTCATAAAGACATGCCTGAAACTGGACAATTTGCAAAAGTTTAATGGACTCACAGTTTCATGTGGCTGAGGAAGCCTCACAATCATGGTGGAAGGTGAATGGCACGTCTCACATGGCATCAGACAAGAGAATAGAGCTTGTGCAGGGAAACTTCCTTTTATAATATAAAACCATCAGATCTCATGAGACTTACTCACTTACCACGAGAACTCCCACTAAGTTTCTCCCACAACACGCTGGAATTTGGGGAGCTACAATTCAAGATGAGATTTGGGTGGGGACACAGAGCCAAACCATATCACTGTGAGGCATTCTCTGCTGATTCTTTAAGAATTTAGGAATATTAACTAATCCTAATTATTGCCATTGTTTCTTATTTTAGTAACTTTGAATTCCAATAGAGAAATATCTAAACTACTATTAATTCATAATCCAAAAAGTGAATAATCTTTAATTTCTAAAAGTGTAGTATACTTCCCAGGGGAATTCTTGGGTTTATTTTCAAGAGACATGGAAACCCATTTAAGCCTCATTGCTGCTTGTAGGTAACAGTTTAATGTTCTTTCTCCATTATTCTTGTCTCTGTTTTTAACAGCTGTTTTTAAATGCTAACAATAAGGTGGCAGACAAGAACGAGAAAGACCTTGCCAACAAATTACTGACAGAAATGAATGAGGACCAGGTATCTACATAGCCTGCATCTTGTTTCAGCTGAAGTCCAAAATCAGCCAATGGGAATAACTATTCCTGTGCTTTTCTTCTTATGTCCTAAAATACACAAACACTGTCAAATTCTAATATTCATTAATTATTTTTGAAAATTGCTAAAAAGTTAAAATAAAAATTGCTTTCATCTAAAGGATAAATATCTTGGTGATTGATATAAGCAATCAATACCATTCCCTCTATGTGTATATGGTCTTTTCAATTTGAGGAGATATAAAGTACAGGAATGGAATCTCAGTATCAATGCTGTCCACCTGGTGGTGACTTTTCTAAGCACTGTGGTATATTGGGACCTTAGGGCTTTCTTTGTGAATATGTATGGTCATTGTTAATATCTTGATTCTTTGCTTCTTATTGACAAGTGATGATTATAATTCAGTGGACAACCTGAATCTTGGAGGAAGGGAAGAAGATGCTGAACTCTCTGTTAATTTAGCGTAAAACTTGACTTTTTGTATTCTAGAAATTCAAGTCTATACAGGTATAATAAAGCAAAAATATGTAATTTATGTTGCTTCTTTCAATACATTAGGTAATCTAGTTTGAAAAAAAACTACCTTTAAAAATTGATGTTATTTTTCTCTTCCAAAATATTTGCAAGAAAACTTACATGATGTCTTTTATTAACATTGTGTTAACGTCCAAGTTTATAAATAGAATTTTTGTGTAATAAGAGACATTATCAGCTTATTTTTTATTCTATATGTGAAGTATCAGTTTACAGAGTATTGTTTTAGAGTTCTCTATAAATGTTAATTCCTCTTAAGGCCTACTTATGTAGATTAATAAAACAATTATTATAGTCTCTTAGAGGTTCACATTACAATTCCAAATTGTAAGTGATTCTGTGCTTTCATGATTGTCTAAGCCCGATATAACAGTCATGTTCAGTTTTTTAATATTCTTGATGTTAGTTTTTGTTTTTGCTATAAATACACTGCCCTGGAATTTAACGTATCTCTTCTTTTTATTGAAGCTTTAACAGTAATAGACAAAATTAGGCTAGTTTTTATTTTTTCATACAACTTTTAGGATTAAAAGTTGCCTTCTCAAAAACATGACAATGTTTAGAGATATGTATTTCATTTTCTGTGTCTGCCTCAAATTTTCCATTTTATATAAAAATAGATATATTTAATTGTTTATAAATATAATTAATTGGCGTATGCACATGCCATCTTAGTTTTAACACAGGATTTGGAAACTAGATGAACAAGATTATTTTAGCTGTTTTTTTATACATGCAAATGGAATTTAAACCTGGATCATTCAAGTGTAGTTTTGAAGGGAAATTAAAATGTAATAGGATTTCTGGCTGGGTGTGGTGGCTCACACCTGTAATCCCAGCACTTTGGGAGGCCGAGGCAGGTGGATCACTGGAGGTCAGGAGTTCAAAACCAACCTGACCAATATGGAGAAACCCTGTCTCTACTAAAAATACAAAAATTAGCCAGGCGTGGTGGCGCATGCCTGTAATCCCAGCTACTCAGGAGACTGAGGCAGGAGAATCACTTGAACCTAGGAGGCGGAGATTGCAGTGAGCCGAGATTGCACCATTGCACTCCAGCCTGAGCAACAAGAAAGAAACTCTGTCTCAAAAAAAAAAAAAAAAAAAGTAATAGAATTTCCAATGAATGATAGACCTCCCTCCCTTCCTCTTGAGATTGTCCATTATTTTTAAAAAGCATGTGTTAAGCTTGTGTTTTTCTCAAAACATTTTAATGTAATAAGTGAATGTTGCCTTATCCTCCTTGACATGTGGCTTATTTTTCTTTTAAATAGGTAACTTTTCTTGCAGGTTATAGTATTTCAGAAATCCATTTCATTGGAAGAGGAATGTAATGCATGTTAAGTAATTATTTTTTCAGGTTTTCAGACCAAAGGTTTCCTAACTCAATAAAAATTGTGAACACATTTGTTAATTTCTTGTTTCTCCTTCCCCCTCAATAGGTGTTTCAGGGACAATTGGATTGTTTGGCCATATCAACCATTCAGGCTTTGACAGCAGTAATGAACAAATCTCCAGCTGCTAAGGTGAAACATATATCCTCCAGCTTTTTTTTTTCTTAACTTTTATTTTAGGTTCAGGGGTACATGTGCAGGTTTGTTATATAGGTAAATTGGATATCACAGGGATTTCGTGTACAGATTATTTTGCTACCCAGGTGATAAGCATAGTACCCAATAGGTAGTTTTTCAATCTTCCCCCTCCTCCTTCCACCCTCAAGTAGGTCCTGATGTCTATTGTTCTTTTCTTTGTGTCCATATGAACTCAGTGGTTGGCTCCCACTTACATGTAAAAATATGTGGTATTTGGTTTTCTATTCCTGTGTTAGTTCACCTAAAATAATGGCCTCCAGCTCCATCCATGTTGTTGCAAAGGATATGAGGATATGATCTCATTTGTTTTTATGGCTGTGTAGTATTCCATGGTGTATATCTACCACATTTTCTTTATCCAGTTTACTATTGATGGGCATTCAGGTTGATTCCATGTCTTTGCTATTGTGAATAGTGCTATGATGAACATACATGTGCATGTGTCTTTGTGGTGGAACAATTTATATTCCCTTGGGTATTTACCCAATAATGGGATTGCCGGGTTGAATGGTAATTTTGCTTTGAGTTCTTTGAGAAATTGCCAGACTGCTTTACACAATGGCTGAGCTAATTTACATCCCACCAGCAGTGTATAAGTGCTCCTTTTCTTCACAAGCTTGCCAACATCTGTTATTTTTTGATGTTTTAATAGTAGCCATTCTGAGTGGTGTGAGATGGTATGTCATTGTGGTTTTGATTTGCATTTCTCTAATGATTAGTGATGTTTAGCATTTTTTCGTATGCTTGTTGGCTGCATATGTTTTCCTTTTTTTTTTTTGAGGCAGGGTCTCCCTCTGTCGCCCAAGCTGGAATGCAGTAGCGCGTCTTGGCTCACTGCAACCTCCACATCCTGGGTTCAAGTGATTCTCCTGCCTCAGCCTCCCGAGTAGCTGGGATTACAGGTGTGCACCATTATAGCCTGGCTAATTTGTGTGTTTTTAGTAGAGATGGGGTTTCACCATGTTGGCCAGGCTGGTCTTAAACTCCCAAAAGAAGGTGATCCACCTGCCTCGACCTCCCAAAGTGCTGGGATTACAGGCATGAGCCACCACACCCAGCCCTGTTTTCTTTTGAAAAGTGTCTGTTCTTGTCCTTTGCACACTTTTTAGTGGGATTATTTGCTTTTACTTGTTGATTTGTCTAAGTGCCTTATAGATTCTAGATATTAGACCTTTGTTGGATGCGTGGTTTGCCAATATTTTCTCCCATTCTGTAGGTTGTCTGTTTACTCTGTTGATAGTTTCTTTTGTTGTGCAGAAGCTCTTTAGTTTAGTTTGGTCCCATTTGTCAATTTTTGTTTTTGTTGCAGTTACTTTTGATGGCTTCATCATGAAATCTTTGCCAGGTCCTATGTCCAGAATAGTATTTCCTAGGTTATCTTCCAGGGTTTTTATAGTTTTACACTTAAGTCTAATGCAACTTGAGTTGACTTTTGTGTATTGTAAGGAAGGGGTCCAGTTTCAGTCTTCTGCATATTGCTAGCTAGTTATCCCAGCACCATTTATTAAAAAGGAGCCCTTTCCCATTGCTTGTTTTTGTCATCTTTGTCGAAGATTGGATGGCTGTAGGTGTGCAGCATTATTTCTGGACTCTGCAGCATTATATTCTGTTCTGTTCTACTGGTCTATGTGTCTATTTTTGTACCAGTACTATGTTGTTTTGGTTACTGTAGTCTCGTAGTATAGTTTGAAGTCAGGTAATGTGATGCCTCCAGCTTTGTTCTTTTTGTCTAGGATTGCCTTAGCTATTCAGGCTCTTTTTTGGTTCCATATTAACTTTAAAATAGGTTTTTCTAGTTCTGTGAAGAATGCTACTGGTAGTTTGATAGGAATAGCACTGAATCTTTGGGCAATATGGTCATTTTTATTTTCTTTGAGACGGAGTCTCACTTTCTCACCCAGGCTAGAGTGCAGTGGCACGATCCTAGCTCACTGCAACCTCCATCTCCCAGGTTCAAGCGATTCTCCTGCCTCAGCCTCCCAAGTAGCTGGGATTACGGGTGTGCACCACCACGCTTGGCTAAATTTTCTGTATTTTCAGTAGAGACAGGGTTTCACGATGTTGGCCAGGCTGGTCTTGAACTACTGACCTCAAATGATCTGCCCACCTCGGCCTCCTAGAGTGCTGGGATTACTGGCATGAGCCCCCACACCAGCCCAGGCAGTATGGTCATTTTAACAATATTGATTCTTCGTATTCATGAATATGGAATATTTTTCCATTTGTTGGTATCATCTCTGATTTCTTTGAGCAATGTTTTGTAATTCTTGTAGAGATCTTTCACCTCACTGGTTAGCCATATTCCTAGTTATTTTATTCTTTTCGTGGCAATTGTGAATGGGATTGCATTCTTGATTTGGCTCTTAGCTTGGATATTGTTGGTGTATAGGAATGCTGCTGATTTTTGTACATTGATTTTGTGTCCTGCAACTTTCCTCAAGTAGTTTATCAGATCAAGGAGCTTTTAGGCAGAGACTATGGGATTTTCTAGGCATAGAATCATATTGTCTGCAAACAGAGAGAGTTTGACTTACTCTCTTCCTACTTAGAAGCCTTTTATTTCTTTCTCTTGCCTGATTGCTCTGGCTGTGACTTCCTGTACTATGTTGAGTGGGAGTGGTGAGAGAGGGTATCCCAGTCTTATTCTGGCTTTCAAGGGGAATGCTTCCAGCTTTTGCCCATTCAGTGTGATGTTGGCTGTGGGTATGTCATAGATGGCTTTTATTATTTTGAAGTATGTTCCTTCAATGCCTAGTTTGTTGAGGGTTTTTAACATGAAGGGATGTTGAATTTTATTGAAATAATCTATTGAGATAATCTTGTGGTTTCTGTTTTGTTCTGTTTATGTGATGAATCACATTTATTGATTTGCATATGTTGAACCAACATTGCATCCCATGGATAAACCCTACTTGATCATGGTGGATTAACTCTTTGATGTGCTGCTGGATTCTGTTTGCTAATGTTTTGTTGAAGATTTTTGCATCTATGTTCATCAAGGATGTTGGCCTGAAGTTTTCTTTATTTGTTGTGTCTCTGCGAGGTTTTGGTATCAGGGTGATGCTGGCCTCACAGAAGGAATTAGAAAGGAGTCCTTCCTCCTAAATTTTTTGAAAAGTTTCAGTAGGAATGGTACCAGCTCTTTTTTATGTATCTGATAGAATTTGGCTGTGAATCTTTCTGGTCCTAGGTTTTTTCTGATTGGTAGGTTTTTTATTACTGATTCAAATTTGGAACTCATTATTGGTCTGTACTGAGATTCATTTTCTTCCTAGTTTGATCTTGGGAGGTTGTATGTTTCTAGGAATTTATCCATTTCTTCTGGGTTTTCTAACTTGTGTGCATAGAGGTGTTCATAGTAGTCTTTGTGGATTTTTTGTATCCTGTGGGGTCAGTAGTAATGTCCTATATGTCATTTCTGATTATGTTTATTTAGATCTTCTCTCTCTTTTTTTCTTTGTTCAGCTAGTGATCTATTTTATTAATTCTTTCAAAGAATCAACTCCTGGAATTGTTGATCTTCTGGTTTTTTTGTTTTGTTTTGTTTTGTTTTGTTTTTGAGACAGAGCCTCGCTCTGCCACCCAGGCTGGAGTCCAGTGGCGAGATCTCAGCTCACTGCAACCTCTGCCTCCTGGGTTCAAGCAGTTCTCCTGCCAACCTCCCGAGTAGCTGGGATTACAGGCACGTGCCACCATGCTTGGCTAATTTTTGTATTTTTAGTAGAGATGGGTTTCCCCATGTTGGCCAGACTGGTCTTGAACTCCTGGTCCCAAGTGATCTGCCCACCTCAGCCTCCCAAAGTGCTAGGATTACAGATGTGAGCCACTGTGCCTGGCCTATCTTTTGTATGGTTTTTGATGTCTCAATTTCCTTCAGTTCAGCGCTGTTTTGGTTAGTTCTTGTCTTCTGCTAGCTTTGGGATTGGTTTGCTTTTGTTTCTCTAGTTCTCTAATTGTGATGTTAGGTTGCTGGATTTGTAATCTTTCTAACTTTTTGATGTGGGCATTTAGTGCTATAAATTTCCCTCTTAACACTGCTTTAGCTATGTCCCAGAGATTCTTGTATGTTGTATCTTCTCATTAGTTTCAAATAATTTCTTTATTTCTGCTCTAATTTTATTATTTACCCAGGAGTCATTCAGGAGTAGACAGTTTAATTTTCATGTAATCATATGGTTTTGAACAATTTTCTTAGTCTTGATTTCTATTTTTACTGTACTATGATTCAAGGGTGTGGTTGGTATGATTTTGGTTTTTTGAAATTTGCTGAAGATTATTTTATGTCTGATTGTGTTGTCAATTTTAGAGTATGTCCCATGTGCAGATGTGAAGAATGTATATTCTCTTGTTTTGTGGTAAAGTGTTCTGTAGATCTCTACTACGTCCATTTGGTCATGTGTTAAGTTCAGGTCCTGAATATCTTTGTTAGTTTTCTGCCTCAATGATCTGTCCAAGTATACTGTAGTCTCTAAGAATTACAAATCTGGGTGCTTCTGTGTTGAGCATGTATATATATTTAAGATAGTTAGGTTTTGTTAAATTGAGCCCTTTACCATTATGTAACTTCTTTGTCTTTTTTATCTTTGTTGGTTTAAAGTCTGTTTTGTCTAAAGTAAGAATAGCAACCCCTGCTTTTTTCTGTTTTCCGTTTGCTTGATTGATTTTTCTCCATCCCTTTACTTTAAGCCTATGGGTGTCATTGCATGTGAGATGAGTCTCTTGAAGACATCATACCACTGGGTCTTGATTTTTTCTCCAACTTGCCACTCTGTGCCTTTTAATTGGGGAATTTAGCCCATATACATTCAAGGTTAGTATTAATCTGTTCTGATTTGATCCTACTACCATATTATTAGCTGATTATTATACAGACATGTTGACTTGTGTGTGTGGTTGCTTTATAGTGTCATGGGTCTATGTACTTAAGTATGTTTTGGTAGTGGCTGGTAACAGTCTTTCCTTTCCATATTTAGCACTTCCTTCAGGACATCTTGTAAGGCAGGTCTGGTAGTAATTAATTCTTTTAGCATTTGCTTCTCTGAAAAGGATCTTATTCCTCCTTCACTTATGAAGCTTAGTTTGGTTGGATATGAAATTCTTTGGAATTTCTTTTCTTTTCTTTT